ATAATAAGTTCTCTTATTCGCGAAAAAAAATATTTATCGAATTGACGGACCGAACGTTGGTGTAAAATATTCGGTGCCGTTCACGCATGCTTTTATATGTATTTGGCGCAAAACTCTACCGAGTTTCCTGATCCTCTCGAAGTGTACGATTTTAAAGAATTATAAATGCTTCGCAATTTACGGTATAACATAATTATAATATTATATAACATAATTACATATAAAAATAAATAATACGGTATAAAATCCTACAAATGATTACACGTCGATAGGAAATTTACTTGGTTTAATATAAAAAAAAAAAGTTAGAATATTTAGAATCAATTGAATCGAGCTCTTTTGACTTGTATTAAATATTGGCAACCGTTAATGTCGACGAATGTACCTAACGGTAAACATCGAGTATCCAGACTTGATTTCACCTGCACTTCTCGTAGCACACTTAAGAAACGAGTTTTCTGTTTAAAAAAGATGGTCGCTGCACTCCATGCCGGAAATAAGGACGCGATACTGACACGATTGCAGGGATTCTTTTTTTTTCTTCCCCAAGGACTCCCTTCTGGTCTCGACTTCCGGACGATTTCCTTGTACGTCGTTAGAAAGTAACCAAACAAGCCGGACACATAACTCTCCTTGGCAGTGGTTTATTTAAAAACAAATTCTAGCGAAAGAAAGTACATTCCCTCAAGTCGCTTCATGGGTGATTACAGCTGAAGCGAATAGAAATTCGATCGTTAATATGAGTGACCCTTAAATGATTTTTACGCATTTTTTTAAGCACCGTGGAAAATATTTTACATAACCTAATCGGTTACGTGGATATTTTCATACGTTGGTATGTGAACGGGAATTCGTAGATTTACACGGAAATGTGTAGACTTCCGCTTAGGATATGACCTTAATACCGATTGTACCGTTTTAGTACACTCGACTCGAAACAGGTTTCAATCGCCCACTCAATTCTAAACGAAAAAAGTGACAATCTATTGGACTACTTCCTCGTGTAACCATGTCCTACATATCATGGATACCGACCTGGTTAGATTCGCAAAGAGAAGAACTTGTTTGGTTATCTTGATTTTAATTTACTATTGTCTCACAGGGTTCACGGCAGCTTAAGAATTCCGCGTATATCTGTCACTCTTCATCCCAAAGTCTGGAAGTTAGTTTGTGGCCCTGTTAAAATTTTGTCTTTTTCAAATATGAATATTTTCTATGTGTTTGTCAAGGATAAATAATAAATTGTCAGACTGTAAAGGATCTACGGCAGTAGCAATAATCTTTTCGTTAATTCGTTTTCTTCGAAGGCATACAATGTCGCGAAATTTCTTGCTTGTATCATCACTTATAAAAATATAAATAATGAATAATAAATTGCTAAATAATAAATTGCCAGACTGTAAAGGGTCTTCGGCAATTGCAGTAATCTTTTCATTAATTCGTTTTCTTCGAAGGCATACAATGTCGCGAAACTTCTTGCTTGTATCATCACATATAAAAATATAAATAATGAATAATAAATTGTCAGACTGTAAAAGGTCTTCGGGAGCTCCAGTAATCTTTTCGTTAATACGTTTTCTTCGAAGGCATACAATGTCACGAAACTTCTTGCCTGTATCATCACTTCGTAGGAGCTTGACATTTCATCTACAAATTGAGTAATTTAACAAAGTACCAATATCCACTCAATAGAGTGGATTTTAATACGGAGAAATGAATTCTCTGTGGAAAAAAAAAATGTAAAACGTTAGGGTATCATATTTAGATTAGAAAATTCGAGGTACAAAATTAGGTATAGTAGAATATAAGTATATTCTACTTTATCGAGCAGGATAGAAGTGTGAGAAATTCTAAGTTCTCCGTTATATTTTATTACGAAGGTTCAAATTGTCAAGATTTAAAGAAACTCATAACTTCTTAAAATATGATAACACGCGCTTAAAATTCTCTCAAGAGAAATGTAAATGTTGAGAATTGAAAATTTTCAAGGAAGAACCTAAAACACTTGGCACGATAGTTTATCTTACAGCGAAACGTTACAAATGTCGCAAATTTGGATTTGGAAGACACTAAATATAGGAGGGTGCGAAACTCTGCCGGCTTTTCGTAACTCCAGACTCATTTCCTAAACTCCAAATAAACAGAATGCAAAAACGGCAGAGCCGGGAATTCTTTTTAAGTCGTACGAAGGAAATGTCACACAACATGCCGGTGATAGGGCCATTACATAAAAAGTTAAAGCGACCTTATTAGAAGTGTATCACATAGAAACCATACCTATGGATATTATACATAGGTCGCCCACGTCAAGAATGAGGGTACAAGTACCTTCAACCACTACAGGGTCATCGATTATTGCATTAGGTGACCATGTGCCATCGAGAATAGTACATGTCCCTTTTCAGATACACTTTCCGGCTAGTCTAAGGTGAAAAAGTCGTATTATAAATTATTTCCATCAGAAGGCTATGGAAGGAGTAATCCTCAAAAACTTACATTATTAATCATCATTACTATCTACGTACAGAGATTTAACGTAATCTTAAATAACTTCGAAATATTTAAAATAATCTTTAAGGGGATGTGAAAGTGGCATCTGAGGAATCGTTCATGAAACTTTTCTTCGAACTGGGTGTACCAAATAATCGCAAACTTTGCAACGTGAACCCTCATGGAATTTCAGTTTTTATAACAAATTTTAAGAATATCTATTAACAATTTTTTTTTTATTTGAAATTTCATGAGATTCAGGGCTTACATTATACTCGACCTGGGTGTACCAAATAATCTCAAACCTTGCAACGTGAACGTGGAGGCTATTAAGAAGGTCCTGATCCCCATGGAATAACATTTTTTATAACAAATTTAAACAATATCTATTAACAATTTTTATTTTAATTTGAAATTTCATGAATTTCAGGACCTCCCTTATACCCGAACTGGGTATACCAAATAATCTCAAAACTTGCAACGTGACCGTGGAGACTATAATGAAGGTCCTAACCCTCATGGAATTTCATTTTTTGTAACAAATTTTAAGAATATCTATTAACAATTTTTTTCTTAGTTTGAAATTTCCTGAGTTTCAGGACCTCCCTTATACCCGAACTGGGTGTACCAAATAATCTCAAACCTTCCACCGTGAACGTGAAGGCTATAAGGAAGGTCCTGACCCCCATGGAATTTCATTTTTTATAATAAACTTTATGAATATCTATTAACAAATTTTTAATGAATTAAAATTTTATGAGTTTTAGGGCCTTCCTTATACCCTCCATATTTACATTGTAACGTTTGAGTTGATTCGGTACACCCAGTTAGGAAATAAGTTTCATGAACGAGAACTCTTTGACGCCACTTTCACATCACCTTAATCATTTCTACCGACTTAGGGAAAGATTTCCGTCGGTGAGATTCAATTTCAGCAATAATCGAGCTTTGATTTCTGTACATGCTACTTCGGTACTTAGGGCTCGAGGATTATCCGGGTTAATCCTTTCAAAAATCGTTACGATACTGCAGGAGCATTCTCTGTACGTCTAGGGCTTACTTCCACGATCAACGAGTTACCTTTCTACGTCTTCCTCGATCGCCGGAAGCTTAAAGCTTAAAGTCCCTATCGTTAATGAACCGTGATATTAAATTGCATCTTCCTTCAAATTTGGGCCGAAGTTTGTAACTGAAAATTGAATGCAACACCTACCTAGCATCATCTTAAATTAGAAGCCACGTCTTCATGATCCTGCATACATATTCTATCATACATATTCTATCGTGCATATTCTGAATTAATTTCTTTCTTAGACTCTAGTGTATGAATTAATAACATGATAAAACGATTTGAACATTACCGTTTCAAACATGTAGTGCAGATCAGTGTCATAGTTTTTCATTGTTTTCCGAGGTTTGCAAAACAAATACATTGACCTAGGATGTTAATGGCGATAGTTGCGGTAAATCGTGTTGTTTCTGATAAGGAAGTGATTGTTTCATTCATTGTCTGGGCGTAAAATAAAGAGGAACAAAGAGACAAATAGCGTTAAGTCAACGTTAACGTTCCCACTAGTATTCGCGGTATTTTCTGTGAACAATTTTTTATTGCAAATTTTTGGGATAGGGCACAAATTGTCGGAGACAATTGAATATTAATCCTACCATTCTCCTCTTATTGACGATCGACGTCCACGTAAGGCAAAACATTTCCGCACATTCCGGTACAACTTTATAGGCCGTGTGTGCGGAAAATCGATATCTGTTCGACTTGTAAATCGAGACGGATAACTCGGCGAATGTACTCCTACCTTACATACCAGTCGTCCCGACAAGAGGATGTTGATCTACGGAAAAATAATCGGAAGTTGCATCCGGCAAAAATTGAAATCAGTAGATAAGTAGATAATTAAATCGATGCGAAAGTTTAATTATATTCCTAGACAGAAGTGTTAGTTCAGAATCTTATCAAAACATCTTTATCCATGAGTTTTTATTAAATTAAACTTTTAATTAATTCCCAAAACCCTTAATCCTTTAAGCGGACCCATAAGTGCGTCAGACGTTTGGTCCACTATTGCTTGCACGGCCTGACGAAATTCACCCTTACGCCAAAAGGGCTTGGCGCTCAAAAGGGGTTAAGACTAATTAGAAGTGACGTTCCGCTACACAATTTTTCAATTAGTGATTTTCAACGTATCGATGATCATTTATTTGCTCATTTCCGAATCTTTTACAAGGGATAATACCGTTTCAGAGGGCAAAATTTCATATCAAACCTGTCCAATAGTAAATAAACATTTACCTGATGCCTAGATCTTCTATAATTATTCAGGGAAAATTAATTCTATAATTGAACGTTTAGTTCTTGCATCTCCTAAGATCAGTAAGCTAGTTGGAGAACAAATGCCAAGATGCTCTAAGCTTATCTATCATTCCGAATTCGGCACGGAGCCAGCTATTGTTTTTTAACAGTGTCTAATGTCCTGACCGATTTACTTTTTTTCCAGATCCCTTGACAACCGACTGGTAGATCGTCAGGATGGGCACGACGAACGCACAGACGGATTCGGAGAACGGCACCGAACAGGCAAATCCCGGTGGAAATTCGATAGAGGCCTTCTTCGCAGAATCCGTGATTTTGGTAACTGGTGCTACGGGCTTTCTCGGGAAAGCTCTCCTGGAGAAGCTTTTGCGCTCCTGTCCACGACTGGCCACCATTTTCGTACTTATCCGTCCTAAGAAGGGACAAACCGTTCAACAGCGACACGAGGAATTACTTAACAACTCGGTAAATATTTTAGATCTCCGTGTCTGTAAGATCCGCATCTAGAAATTCATCAAGTCCCATTCATTATGCACCTACAAGAATGAGAATTTTCCAACATAGTAGACCTTCGTATACACACTGCGTTAAAGTCGTTTCGCAAAAGCTTCGGAACAAACTGCAGAACATGGATAACTTATCTACATTGTAATAGTCTTATATAATTCCTCACTGTGAAACAGAAAAATGAAGTAAAGAAATATTTTTAATATCATAAGGGTAGAGGAAATGTTTGGGCAATTTATGGGATACAGGATAATCGCAATTTTTTCTACCACGATGTAAGAAACCGCGCGCTATGTATATGAGATGAGTCTTACGAGATATTCAAAATTCGTTAAATTTTATTGTTGCTTTGGCACGTAAAATGATGAACTGTAAATTACGGTTAATAATACCATTAATAATAGTACCATTTCCATAGACACAACCACGTGTTTGGATAAACTGTCGAATTGATGATATTACTTTCCACATCCTTGCCGGTACGATTGTTCGTCTTATTGGTCAAATGACAGTATCTGTGCCCAAATTAGAACCCATCGATTCTGAACCTTTCATAAGACTTCACTCTGTATAGAGGTACACCGTGGTTGGAATAATAATAAAAAAAAAAGCAGATGTAACGTTTGATTTGCTCCATAGGTGTTCGACAGGATCCGATGGGAATTCCCTACTGCTCTTGGAAAAATTGTCCCGATCAAAGGCGACGTCAGCCAGCCGGACCTGGGCCTTAGTACCGAAGACAGAGTCATGCTGATTCAAAGGGTTAATATTGTTTTCCATAGTGCCGCTACGGTGAGATTCGATGAACCTCTTAAAGTCGCCGTGAACCTGAACACGAAAGGCACCGCGCGAATGATAGAGCTCTGCAAGAGCATGTTGAATCTCATCAGTTTTGTCCACGTTAGCACGGCGTACAGCAACGCCGATCAGGAAGATATCAAGGAAATCATTTACAGGTGATTAGATGTTACAGTATCAGAGGTAAAAGAGTGCTTAAGGTGATATGAAAGAGTGAGCGAATAGATATCTGAGAAGTCAAATCGCTGGAGAAAGTATTCTCCGAATTGGATTCGTACCGATTCGTTTCACATTTTATCGCGTGAATATGGAGGCCCTAAAGTACGTCCTGAAACTCATGAAATTTCATTTTTCATGAAAAATTAATTTATTTATGGACTAGAACCAACATGGCGTGGTCCGGGCACGTTTTCGATGTTTTAGGCTTCTTGAAGGCGTAGAGTCGAAAGTGAAGAATTTCAGGACCTAGCTCGGACAATTCAGATTACCATAAAAATGGAATATTACAGAGTCAGATAGGAAAATATGGGAAATACTTTCACCAACGATTGCAAGAGAATGCTGGCTTGTCCCAGGCGCTAACGCGTGTTTTCAGAGCAAAAATTTAGTAGCAGCTAAACGTCACAGATGGCGACGTTGGTCCTAAACAGTCGCTGGGATAATGAATTCATGGGATTTCGACGGTTTCACGTCGATCTCATTGTCATTACTTTCCTGAAATTACATATGAAACGCTTCATTTCATATGATTCTCAATGTAGACTGTAAAAGACTTTAACATAAATATAAATGTCGGTCACGGGACGCGCCAGCTAATGTTACCACTTGAGTATTCAAAATGGCGTTCCCACCAAAAAGAGTATAAATGAATTTTAATTTATTGACGTCGATTAAAACGTCTCATATCATTTTAAAACACTCAAATAAGTAAAGAAAAATAGGTACCCACTGGTAGAGCTCGCAATTTGGGCGGGCTCAAAGTGAGCGGTTGTTAAACGTGACTTGTACTGGTATTGAAATTAACTTTGTAATCGGTGCCATGACTTAAGGTGAAGTGAAACACGTCGAGGAACTTGATCGACGTCGATAAAGAAGGTTTTTTTAAATGCCTACGTTGCCGACGTTCGTTTTTATATTGACAACTGTGTCGAGTCATATTGGGTATTGTACCAAATGGCATCCTCTACCTGTCGTTTTCCTACGATAATTATAAAGAAATCGAAGTAAAACTCCAGAAATCCTCTGGATTCATGCTTTCTGAGGCCCTAATTGACTGCAGAGGGATCCCCTGTACCATCTGTGACTTCCAGGTCAATTAAATTTTCACTCCGAGACCTCGTATTACCATCGTTTTGACGTAGAAGCGCATACAACACTTTTTTTGCCTTTATCCCGTTCAAATGCGAGTTTATCGACTACCAGAGTGTTCTAAATTGTCGTGAAATTGTCCTGACACTTTGGATTCTCATATCAGACCCCTCGACAATTGTATATTGATCGAAATATGAGAGCTCGACGCCATTTTCGTTCTGGTCTGGGCAGAGTTAAAAAATGTTTTTAAAAAATCCAAGTTTTGAATGTGCCAAAGTTTCGGATTGTTTGATCTAATACCCTTAAAAAAAATATTCGAATCGACTGATTTGAAGGGGGTTTCACTTCACCTTAACACTGTCAATGCCGTACATGGAATTATACGCTTGCGAATTTTTATCAAGCTCCCACGGCATTCTGTACATTTATTTGTTATTTCCAGCGCGAAGGTGAAACCACAGGCAGTTATCGACATGTGCGAGAATCTTGACGACGACACTATCGGGATAATCGAGAAACGACTAATGGGAAAACATCCTAATACTTACACACTGACGAAAGGGTTGGCAGAAGAGATGATACTTACTAGAGGATCTGAACTTCCGGTTGCTATCGTAAGGCCGAGCATAGTTTGCGCGGCTTATCAAGAACCCTTTCCAGGCTGGGTGGACAACGTTTGCGGAATTACCGGTAAATTACTATAATCAGTTAATAAGTTACTCTAATCGTTCCATAAACTGACTGAAACCCAATATTTGCATCTACATAATTAGGAGTTAAACTTTAATCGTCATTGGTGTAATGCAATCATGTTTGGTCTACCTAATTTTAGATTTGATCGTGTTATGTTAACTTGAATTCATAGGCTAACCAAATGTGATCACGTTTACCGATTAAATCCCGAGCGAACAGTTGAAAGACACAATTTGAAAAAAGTGAAGTGCCTAATGATGATTCTAAGGTCAAGTTCCTGCAAATTAAATTCTAGATGCAGCATAGCAATCGCGATGCATTTTTTTAATTTGTATAACACTTATCGAACACACTTGAGATTTGGAGTATGACATTACAAATCATAGGGAGAAGTGTTCGAAATTTTCGCTCATTCAGCACTAAACGATGTTTAGGCGAACATATGACTGAATCATGTTACATGTGAAACGCACTTATGATTTGGAGTATAACATTACAAACCATAGGGAGAAGTGTTCGAAATTTTCGCTCATTCAGCACTAAACGATGTTTAGGTGAACGTATGACTGAGTCATGTTACATGTGAACCACACACATATCAACATGGGTCCGCATATCTTTCAGATTAAATAGTTAAATATAAATATATATTATGGAACGTATAGACTTTTCTATTAAGCAATTTTTACGATTTCATTATTCGAAGTTGAAGTATCAATCGAAACCGAGAAAACATTGATAGCCGTGTCTCATATGATTATAACAATGACCTTAACGATTGGTTCCCCTTTTATATGTTTCTATTTATGTCAGGAATTATGATGGAGATCGGAAGAGGTACCATCAGAAGCATTGTCTGCAACGCCAATTTGGTCGTAGACGTCGTACCTGTGGATTACGTCGTTGATACTCTAATCTGTGCGGCGTGGCACAGTGCATTAAGAAGAACTAACACAATTAAAGTATACAATTGCACGAGCGGACCTTTCAATCCCATCAGGTAAGACAATTCCCTATTAAATCGATCTAAACACGGACAGATCGATCCACGGAACAATTTACAGTGGCTGTCTTATAAACTAACAGACCTACTCAACAGTTTAAATGGAGATCACAGCTGATACTTTCGGATTTAGAAATGTATTCCACTTTGATTCGGACAATGACTCGAATCTCTACTTAAAAGGAGGAATGAGTAAGGAAAAATCGATACCCTTTGCACATTAACTCTGAACACGGAGCCATTTCGACATATGGGCGAAATTCGTCTGACCGTGCAGGCAATATTGGACCAAACGTCGGCCGCCTTTAGGCGCTCTTCGTAGCCAAAGGGTTAAAACTGCTAAAATGACAAGTTTACAATTACTTCATAAAATGATCCTTGAGAAAAGACTCTCTTTAAACTTCCATGTTGCTCCATTATTTTCCGAGATAACCGTATAACACTGTAAACTGTTTCGTACATTATCTGCCACATGTAGTCTGCTGTAAATTTCTACGGCAAATTCAACATTTCTTGTACAAATACAGGAACATCGATTAAATATTGTTACTCTATCTACAGGTGGGCGGAATTTGGTCAGCTGACTCAAAAGCACGCGATAGACTCGCCATCGAAGTACGTCATGTGGTATCCAGGCTTCACATTCAGGACGAACAAATTCATTCACAAACTTATGGTCACCTTGTTGCACTTCCTACCGGCATTTGTGATCGATCTGGGCCTACAATTCCAAGGAGGCAAGCCGATGTACGCTCTCACGTTTTTTCTCGCAATTCACTTTACTCCTTAATCATTCTCGAATAGTACCCAGATAGAAATTCATGATCATCACATGACGAGGAAAATCGATTTACAAACAATTTGCACAACATTTGCTGCATGAAATATCTGCAACATATGTATGCACATGATACAATAAATTTCAAGAAAAATTTCCGGTAAATTTGTCACGCCATTACTCAAACATGAGCTGCAATTGTCTATCGGCAATGCGTGAGATAAATTTGACTGCACATATGCGTACAAACGTTGATGCATTGCATGTACTTAACTTTGTTTTATATTTAACTATTTTTTATTCGTCATTGTGTACGCATGAGTTCCAAATGAGGACTCATGAGCGACACTCTGATGACCCGTTTCATGATCTTTTGTCAGACAAATTTCATGCAATTTTGCGTCACTTTGTCTATCTTGCTTCATCCTTTTCAATAGGAAATTAATATCGTATATGATCATATCACAGGATGATGAAAATCTCAAAGCGCTTCGAACGCGCGGCGAAGACTGGGGAGTTCTTTGCGATCAACGAGTGGGAGTTCCACGCGGAGAATATGAAAGATCTGGCGAAAAACGTTCAAGCCTCCAGCGACGCCAGCAGGTTCAACGTAGACATCACTAGTCTAGATTGGGACTCTTATGTGCACCAGTATATGCTGGGAATAAGGAAATACATTTTAAAGGACGGCCCAGACACCTTGAGCAGAGCCAGAAGCAGACTCACGAAGTAAGTACATGACGGAAAGTTTGGAAATGTTCATCTCTTGAACTCTAAAACGCAAGAAAAACGGCGGAATGAAATGTCATTAAAAAAAAAAATGAGCAGCTAATTTACATTAGCCTACAATGTAGTTCCTAATAACATATTGATCTCAACTCTAAATTCAGATAAAATGTCACAAAAAATATTACATTACCTTACGACATAGTTTCTGATATTAGGGTGATGCATAAGTAATGGCGTCTTTTTTACACGGTACGTAACGTGTTATAAACGCCATTACTTATGCATCAACCGAATATTAAGATATTTACCCTAGATTCGGCAACCCGGAAAATCGTCGGCAAAATGATTTTAAGCAAATATGCTGATAAAGTCAAGTAATGATGATTTTTTTTGTCGTTTCATTCGAACCATAACCGTAAGATGAAGATAATTTTGTATGTGTATAAAGGATAATTATGCCGGGTAAGACATTCAATATGATCTTTTCTATGAACTCTGCAAAAGTAAAGAGCGGTAGTCTTGTGAAACGTAGTTGTTAAACTGCCTTAATGATGTTGAATAATGAATATGTATAATATCTCTTTTTCTTTTTGCAGATTATACTGGGCGCATAAATTCACGCAAATGTTCAGCGTATGCGTGTTGGTTAATTTGGTGGCCAGAATTGGTAGGTGATGTTTGAGAAAGTTTCTCAGAAAATCTCTTATAAGTACTCTGTCTAAGCTCGCTGCTGTTGTACGGCTCTCAAAATCGAAAACGTATAATCTAAGGACGGATATTCGCTTCTCCTTTGGTGAACAGATTCGAGTAACGCGTGTCACGCCGTATACCGCGTGTAATCGCTTTAACACGGGTGTACCATATAAGTACTTCGGAAATAATAAGTTCATTTAAACTGAGAACAGTGTTCGAGTGTTGAACTATCGCGATTTAGGATAACGCTGAAGAAAGTACGTTCCAAAATGTGTTCAAAGCATGACGAACAACTTGTCGCATATCAGGCACTCTGAACATTACTCGTTAACATAATTAGACATTAGGAAAATCATTTCCAACATAACATATCGTAATCTAAGACCTTTTTCCCAAGTGTGGAGGGCAATTTTTATAGCCCATTCAAAAGAGAAGAAAAATCAGTAACTCTCACGGATGACAGTCCAATCTCGTTATCATGAAAACCAAAGTTCGCGGGATTTTTCTACAAATTGTATTTGACTTTTCCGAAAGCTGCGCCAAGAAACGAGAACTTTATGGCCCATTTTGGAACGTACCTGTAGAAGTTGTTCAACTTAAAGGAAATTAGACGCAGTAGGGCGACGGTCATACTGGGAACATTTAACGACCAACGACATTGATTTTTGCTACCGGCAGGTGTATGCGTACGGTTGTTGCGTGATACCACGTCGTTTGCTTTTAAATTATTGTAACTCAATCGTCACGCTTTCTCCAGACATTCTAGTTGCACAGCACACCGTCGAGGGTGGATGAAGTTCGGAACGTTCTGCGAGTACCGATTTCTTTGATCTTTCACGTAAAATCCATTGACTCGTGCAAGCTCAGCTGAAGACATCACCAACACCTTCACTGAATGTCCTGGAAAAAAAAAACGTACCAAAAATATTGGCTTTATTCTAGAATAGGAAAGATCTCAAATTGACATTCGATAGATTAAATTCAGAATAACGAGGAGAAATGAGCAAGTACTAATCCCAAATTTGAAAAACGAGGGCATCGAGCGTTCCGAAATTCAACGACAAAAATCGACTCGAAATACCTCTTAAAGAAGGGAGGCAGGGCACGCATTTTTCAGGGCATGGGACACCAAAAACGTGTTCCAGCCCAGGGAATCGGGTACATTTTCAACTTGTAATTCCTAAACTACATCCTCTACTATTCCTTAAACTCCCAGGACTCAGGTTTCTGGTGGAAAAGTTATTAATCATCGATCGATCGTCTCTCGAAATCTTGGAACGCCTCTGTACCTTTTCCGCTGCCTCGCTGGTCCCTGTTACTAAGTGCCGCTTAGCCACTTATAATAAACTATTTATCTAGGTTTAATAATACGACACTTGAGAATCAAAAGTGCTGCGTATTACGTAATCGAGTCACTCAAGCCACGTTGGTACCATTGCAAAGACTGACCCTAACGAAGAACCCTTCGCGGCCGGTCGACGAAGGGGAGAGTGCTTAATCTGTTTCCTTTTTCTATTTTTCTCCTACATTTCCTGGTAATTAAGTTACTCTGCGATATCTAGGATAGACGAGAAACAAACTGCCGTAGTACTAGCCTGAGTTAGACTTAAAGCTATCGCCCACTAGCGACAAATAACGGCCAAAATTGCAACTATTGGTCGCGAAAGTTGTTGAAGTAACGACCATGACCAGCCGTTACGGCCAGGAATGCTTTCAATTTTACATTCGGCAGAAGAAAAATTAAACACGGAACAGAGGGAATATTCTCTCAGAAAATCATGGATTTTAATGCTCGAAAGTCACGTGGAAATTAGCCGGAAATTGCAAACAGAAATCCCTGGAAATCATTGGAAATCACCTAAACATTGCCACAATTTTATGGCCGACTCTCACTTCTTACCGTGTCGCATTGTTGTTTGTCATATAAAATCAAAGGTAATCGATTCTTGAAGATGGAAATCGTTTTCACTTATTTCCGAGGAAATAGCCTCTTCGCACGAAACAGACAGCAGCAGTTTGGCATTTAAGAAAACGACCAAATAAGGAAAAAAAGAGATATCGGGCGCATGCTGCGTCAGAAAGACATGATGGATTTGTTTTCATCATTTTACTAAGAACTTAGTCAACTTTAAACCATACAGCTAGACGGATTTAAATTTCAGTTACGAAAAGGTCCGTATCAAACGTGATGTTATTTTTATTTAAATAATTCCTTAGAAATTGTCAAACGCACCCGCACGTGGTGACATGAAAACTGGTCGCTCTGTTTAAACTGCCCCTGGACTATGTACCATTTGTGCCTATGTGAATACTTGGTCATTGCGACATCTTGGCCACTTGAAGGCTGTTTAACATTTTGCCCACTAAAGGCGTTCGACGTTTGGTCGAATATTGCCTGCGCGGTCAGACGAATTTCGCCCATATGTCGAAACTCCGTATTCAAAGGGACAAAACGTATTGAAACGACTCTCGGTTGTCGTGCGATCATTGGTCGCAATTTTAGTTGCAATTTTGGTTGAAAATTTGGCTGCATATTTGCCCGCTAATGGACGGTAGCCCTTAAGGCGATATAAAAGAGTCATTCTATATATATGTATTAAACATCAAAATATTTATAAAACTTTTCTCCATCCTGGGAGCACCAAATCATTTGAAACATTAACACGTGATTATGGAGGCCCTGAGGAAGAACGCGATGTTCGTGACATTTCATTCTTCACAAAAAAATGTGATCTTGGTTCTAGTCTGAGCTAAATAAAAAAAAAAATTTTTTTAATGAAACTTCACAAGCATCACATTCTTCCTTAGGGCCTTTATAATCCCGTGCTGAAGTTTCAAATGATTCGATGCACCCCGTCTGGAGAAAAGATTTATAAATATTTTAACGATTTATATAAATATAATATGTATATAGAATAACCCTTTCATATCACCTTAACGGAAACACTTAACTCGAACTCGGATCCTCGGCACTAGAAGGCCTCTTTTTACGAGGTGACTTTTCCTCAAATTTGAGGATCTTTGATAGAAATTTCTCGCAGCAAATTTATTTAAAGAGGACAATGTTTGCCTTTCAATATATTGGATGCATTTAATACTTATATATATTAATAACCCTAGGCAATCTAACTTGTTGCAGCTAATTTATTCCCAAGTCTACTATGTCAGGGAACGCCACTAAGTGCAGTGGAGATCGGACATTTTTGAAAAGTGAACACGCTTACGAGCTGCAAAGGAATCGCAAAGGAAATCGGTTTTCAATTGGTCTCGAATGAATTCCCTCGGAAAGTGCAGTTATGGCAGTCCTTTGTGCCGGTACACTTCAAGTACAAACGTATGTGGATCACACGTAATTCGTAACGAAGTAACGAAAATAGCGATCGACCACTCACTATTATGCGTGCATATATGAATATGGATATGAGTACGAATACGAGGAGCTAACGTTTGTAGCGAGCCATGCGGAATCCGGAGAGACCAAGGAATCGAAAAATAAAAAATGACACGAAAGCTCGGGATGATTTTCGTCGAATTCGGTTTCGTTCCTCCCTCGTTATCTGCCGCGTAATGGATATATTTATTTTGCAAGTATTACTCCCTACATCTGCTTTATAAAATATATGCAGTGAGGGTTGCACGCAATCATACGTTTCGTGCAGAATATATTCAATGGACGATCCGTTCCGTATGGTGTGCTTCGAATTAACATTTTCGATTCCCGGTCTTGCCCGCCGTTGTATATTCAGGAACTATAAGAAGCAGGCTTTAAAGTTATACAGAGTTGAAAGTAATTTTCTATGGATACAGTTGTGTATATTGTATAATTTTGCGAGGTAATAAGTACATGTATTATCCGATGTTATTGTGGAATAATAATATTATTAATGTTTTTAACGAAGTTGCCTGTTCATTCAACTGGAGCACCTGTAAGCAAAGATGCTGCATATAAAGTCACTGTTTGTATTGTGCGGTTATATCCGGATAAGTACAATAGACAATTGTCTAGCTACCTGTCCTATTCAGGACGTACGCGTTCAAGATCACTTCAAGCAATTAACACTAAACCTACCACCGGCGGGTCAAATTGACCGTTTGAAATGGTATTTGTTATGGGGGTATAAATCGTCGGTAGGTTTGGTGTTAAAAAAAATATACATATATCTTTTTAACGACGAAACTCTTGAATTTTTATAACTTTTATAACTCGGTCCAATCCCAAGATATTCTTAGCAACTCTCCCATGCATGCGGAACTTGCGATCGCAAAGAGGTAAAATATTTCTTTCCTCTCAGTGTTCAAATGTTAAAACAAACCTTTATTTCAATTGGTCTCATGCATCTTTCTTAGTATATTGTTTTACTATCACAATATACATTAATAAAATAGTCGTACAAAAAAGTTAAAACGTATCTCTACATACAACAAAATCAAGTCCTTGGAAGACATCTGCCCGGGTGTGTTCAAATTAATCCCGAAAACCACTGCACAGATTTTGTTGCGGTCTTAATTATTCCACAGAACATCTCTCTGGGAAGGTTCAGGTGTATGAAACATTATTCTAAAATAAGAGAGAACCGAGAAGTCACAATTTTAGGGAAGCAAATCGGCGAAAAAAAAATCGGCCGTGTGGGCATTCTTGATTCCTGTGCGAAGCCGAAGCTACTCGTTAGTAAAATAATATAAAAGAAAATGAACATTGTGTATCTCTCACAGCAACGAAGCACTACTCATATTTCCTTTAAAATTGAAATCCATTGCGGAAATTAAATAATAAGACTTAAATCGCCCTAAATACTAAAACAATGGCATTACAAGTTTTATAAGAAACCATTTACCAGATCAAACAACGCATCGGACGTATGAAAATCAATATGTAATGAAAGTGATTACGCATAAAAATTCTGAATTGTTTCTGACTTCCCCTCGCGAATGTAAGTCGATTTTTCTATTCTGTCTAGCTTATCACGATATGAGCAAATAGCGCACAAAACTTGACTCATGCCTTTAGGATTTGAGTGTAGCAAAGACTTGAATTCATCTCTTACCAATATAGACTTATAATTTTGTTTTAAATAAGATATAGATTTGAGTTTGAAATCTTCAACCCCATGCAAAATGGCAAAACTAAGCACCGACATACAGTTTGCATCCGACAATTTATTCATTAGTACTTTGAGGCACAACGCTTGTAAGCCCCTTACACTATAAATATTTGCCGCCTCGAGCAGTTTTTCGGCAATGTCTTCAATATTCTCGATACGACGGTCGTGCATAAAATTGAGTAACTCTTGAAAAATCTCGGGGTCTACATCCTCCACGATGAAATCCCTCTTCGCCTCATCGAGCTTTAATTTTTCACAAAAGACAACACTATGTGAAACTACTGCAATCTTATTTGCCGAAAATTTCTTGTCCTTAACTTGAAAGTTGATGAGTTCGAATGACTTTTCTGAGAGTTCTGAGAGTCTATGACTTTTCTCCGAGAACTGAATGGATCCGTCACGATCACTTACACAGTTATCACTATTTTCAGTCACATATGACTGCTCGGAAATAACAGTAATTAACTTAGTGACGGAACACGGTGGTAGACGTATTTCAAAACGAATTTTGAGCCGGTCATGGTTAAATTCGTTGTTGTTGATCATGGTGTCATACGGCAAAAGAAAGTGCACTTCTCCTGAGCTAAATTGTTTCTTGACGAAAATCGACTCGTTAAAGTTATAGATCGAAAAAACCGTGAGGGTGTATTCTATATCATAAACGATCGTTCTTTCCCATTCCGGTTTGATAGCGATGCCGAGCCAGTGTGGAAGGCAGCTGGATTGTTGCGAAGAGACGTTAGGGTAAGGGTGGTATATCCTCACAACCCACGTGTATGATTCCTTGACACATGCCACGGATTCAAATGTGTGACGCAACTCATAGTGGTCAAAGAAGTTGTGGACGTGACATTCGACAAAGATAATTTCTTCGTTAATACTAGCTTTGCTCACTGGTACAGGTAGACACGTAGTAGTCGTATTGTCATTGGATTGGCACAGGGATCTGCAAAAAACATTAGACTATTATCAACGCGCATTTCAGTAACGATCAACGGGGTGGCACTTTACTAAAAATACATTGTCGACGAAGGTAAATTAAGAGCCCCTATGTATATGGCGAAATGAATCTGTCGTTTTACCTGGGATTAGAATCCGACGTGCTGAATCCTTGAAGTCCAAACAGTTGTGTACAAACCGCACAAAATATTTCCATCATGATTTTCGGCTTTATGTGCATTAGGGACTGAAAATCCTCGGTCTGGACTATGGACTCGCAATGTCCTTTAAGAAAATGTATGGCTTTAATTTTTGCTGCCTGAACCCGATGTGAAATGGCGACATTGAGAACGTGTACGACATTTGTAATCGATAACTGATCACTTAACACGGTAGCGCACACAGCTTGCAAATCCTTGAAATCGTATTTATCCGCCACCACCAGAAGTCTCTCGGCATTTTCTTTAATGTTCTGAAAACTAGCCCCATAAACGAAATTGAGCAATTCCCTGAATATTTCAACGTCAACGTCTGCAACATCGACGACGCCTTGCTCCTCCTGCATGCCGTTCGTGAACATGCCGTGGAAATAGGAACTGCTTTTCGCCAAAACGGCTCGGTGTGCCGGAATCTCCGTGCCTTGCACTCGAAATATCACGTCCGTGATGAATTTCGATTGAAACAACGGTGCAAAACAATCGGTGCACTTATGAACCAGTTGAAAGTTGTCCTCGCTGGTCACCGCGCATCTCGGATACTTAACTTCGGTGAATTCTCTGCTCTTTGTGGAGAGTTCGAACTGCAAATTGAGGTCGTCTGTTCGTGCGGAACAATCGTTATTGTTTATGGAACAAAGATTTTGATACGCAGATATTTCATATATTCTCCTGGTAGGCCAAGGCATGGCGACGTACGGTGTCATTGTATCTAAACCAGTGTAAACCTTGAGACTGTTGAAATCGAACCTCGCTAATTCATCGTTCGATGAATCACTGCCAGTTGCCACCAAACAATATTTAGAATTGTTAGAATGCCTCAAATCTATACGCAACATATAAGGCTCTCTAATTGCCACGATAGACTCAAACTTATTTTTCAATCGTGCATGGTAATGGAAATTGTAGATAATTAGTTCAACGTTGAGCTTGACGCTACGTATTTCCATTTTGATATCCGTTATGGGTATTACTGTTGACATGTTGCCGCTTAGTCGTGTGCACGTATCTGCCGAAAAAAAAAGCATACATAAATAGACATTATAGTCAAAAACAGTACAGTCGTTTTGCGGATGAAATTATACTGTTGCAATAGTGTAGTCCTACAAACATGCTGAAAAAAAATTGGTGCTTGGTCATCCAAGGCGTTGAAAGCGACACTTCTATCACTAAGTGTTTAGCAAAGGAAGCGATATTATGGTTAAATTGATGGAGGACAAAGACTTTAATCATTGCAAAGCGTTATTTAAGTGGTTATAATTTATATTCAAATTTCATAAATCCTTAATATCGATTATATAAAGCCAATTCGT